CATTAACGTTATATAATCATTATTCATTTATGCCCAAGCAGTGCATTCCATGATAAACAGGTGAAAGTATTCCTTGAAAAGAGGAAACAAAGGCTCTCACTATGAATATGAAGGACAAAGAAAGAGGACAAAATATACAGTTCCTCATTATACCCTCAACAATTGCTGTGGTAGACAAAGGAACGTCCCTTCACTGCTATTATGTAAACATGTGTAGATTAGGTGTTACATGCATATTCACCTGTTCTACACATTTTTACACAATAACAGTGAATATGTTCCTTTGTCTACCACAGCAATTGTTGAGGGTAGAATGAGGAACTGTATTTGTTGTCCTCTTTCTTTGTCCGTCATATTCATAGTGACAGAATGAAGTTCTGCTTGAAGCAGGTGATTGTGATGTCACAAGTGTCGCTTTATAGAAAGGGTTAGGATTTGGCCGCTTGAGGGGACAGTGAAATGTGGGACATGAGTTTTTCTCAAAACTGGATTCTACATTTCCGTCTTTCGCGAGCAATATCTCTGTCGTTTTAGCTTTGTTTACGCTGAACTTCGAGTATGTTGTAGCTGAGACTATGAGCTATCTCAAATGTGCCCTTTATTTTGTCACAAATTTCAGTTGGACCAGCCCACCTATACTTGTTCCAAACAAGTATTACAAATCTAGTTTATTATTTATTATTTATCAGGTGGGCTGTATAACGTACAGACCACCTTATAATTTCGTTAGAATTGCCTTTATTTATTTATTTATTCATTATTTATCAGGTGGGCTGTATAACGTACAGATTACCTTATAATTTCGTTAGAATTGCCTTTATTATTTATTTATTTATTTATTCTTTATTTTTCTTATTTCTAACCACTTTTTTGTGGACTAGATAACTTGAAAATGGCTTGATCAAATTCCTTAAAATTTGACACAAATATGTATAGGCATATATACAAAGCACAGAAATTTTTTCAACCTTGACCATGACTGATGACGTCATCTAGGCGCCATTTACGAAAATCAACTCATGATCATATCTTCATAACCAAAAGGTATTTCTCATTCATATTTATCATGATCAAGGTCAATATCCGTCCGGTCAATGGCAGGTCAAATAACGCGCGCGTGCGCGTACGTCCGCGCGTCAATGCGCGCGTAAAATTTTGAAATGCTCGAAATCGTCTCAAAATCATTTTGCATACGTTTTAGGCCATTCTAAGCATTTTATAAAAAATCGCGCACACGCTCATACGTGCGCGTTTTCGCGCGTAAAACTATTGCACAACATAGAATCGCCATTTTTTTTCTTTCATAATATTCCACATATTTTTACAAACAAATTGATAGCCTGTTTATCTCTTTATAACTATTAATGACGGAATGATCGACCATTAAACATAAATTTCCGTGCGCGCCTATACTTGTTCCAAACAAGTATTACAAATCTAGTTTATTTTTCTTATTTCTAACCACTTTTTTGTAAGCACGATGACTTAAAAATGACTCTATTAAATGCCTTCAAATTTGGTACACATATGTACAGGCATATGTACGAAGCACAATAACATTTTTAACATTGACCTTTACTGATGACGTCATCTAGGCGCCATTTTGTAAAATTTTACGAAAATCAACTCATGATCATATCTTCATAACCAAAAGGTATTTCTCATTCATATTTATCATGATCAAGGTCAATATCCGTCCGGTCAATTAAAGGTCAAAGAACGGGCGCGTGCGCGTACGTCCGCGCCTCAATGCGCGCGCAAAATTTTAAAATGCTTAAAATCCTCTTAAAATCATTTTGCATACGTTTTAGGCCATTCTAAGCATTTTATAAAAAAAAACGCGCACACGCGCATGCGCGCGCGTTTTCGCGCGTAAAACTATTACACAACATAGAATCGCCTTTTTTTTTTCTTTCATAATATTTCACATACTTTTACAAACAAATTGATACCATGTTTGTCTCTTTATGACCATTAATTAACAGAATGATCGACCGTTTAACATAAATTTCAGTGCGCGCGAGCTCTTGTAATACATAGTATATAGTGGCAAAAACATGCCTATACAAAATACATCGTAGCTCTTTAGGATGCACGGTGGAACTAGGGGATTAACATTGGACATAATGCACTTGTTTACATGACCACATTATCTCTTATTCATTCTACCTCCAATGTTTTCAGGCTGTTTTCAAAACAATATCATGTTTGTCGATCATAGTTATATGTTGCTTGATGTCTTATGGTAATTTAATCAATCTAAGCAACAATAAATATTTCTGAATTTTAGCGAAAATCTTTCGCCATTGCTGCTCTTTAAAACTACTATGACGTGCAGTAACAAATTGAAATAAATTCGTTTAACTCATATCCTGCCGAGAACACTGTTCTGTGCATCCGCTGGCGTGCCACGCTCACATAATCGGGTTTCTGGTGGCTTGCCATGCACACATAAACTATCATTCACTCGCGTGCCACGGACACATTTTCGTGCATAAGTACACACGCTAATTGAACCTACCCTAAATTAACTTGGCACACAGGAGATTAGTGGCTGGCACAATAGGGATTAGCACTGTGGCACTGGGTGAATTGTATGGGGCAGCTTAAGAGTTAACAGTTGATTCTACTTGGTTGATTCTATTCGGAATATTCAGCAGAGCGAGATAGAAATTGACTATTTCATGGCTTACGACTTTGCATTAGTGTTCAACGTTTCTACAATGCTATTTGAACAATATTTGGTGACAAAAGACGGCATTTTTATCTAGCGTCAAAAGCCATCAATTTACAAAAACATGGCAGATAAAAAGATCCTCAGTACTGGGTCTAAAAATTTAAAGAACACTTAATTTGAACCAGGCCATATTCTCTCTCTCACTCGTTTGTCATTGCCTTCACTTTCCCTCGCTTAATTTATTCTTACCACGGAATATGTAATGTGTATATGTAGGCTCATTATGTTAATTAGGGTCAATTGTCAAATTGTCTCAATATATCTTACATACATCCATAATAATCAAGCCTAAACAGTAGAAACTTGACATATGGATAGATCATAATGGGAGAAGCATTTTATATATCAATATGAAATCGTGAAAATGCATTCTTCATTATGTAAATCATTAGCATATGTATCACCTAATTCGTCAAAGTGACGAATTAAAGTCTACTTAGTATTACTATCACTATTGTTGAATTCATTACAATGATTATTACAGAAATATTAATTATTATGATTAGTATAATTAGTATCGTTACTTATCATTGCTATATTTTAACATTAATATCAATTATAAAAAGACTTTATAATGATAATCATCTATAAGCAATGATTATGCCATGATAAGAGAGCTATAATCGACCCAACTTGAGTTTCCAATCTTTTCAAACTATAGAATTGAACAAATTAATTCACCTTCGAGGTTCGGATAAAGTTGCTAAAAGAGACGCAATATGTGCGCATCGCTCATGGCAAGAATAGTATAACTAATTATAAGTTCATGACGTGGATCCTAATCAAATGTTTGGTTAAAAGTGTACACGTGACCAGGCATTTATTTTTGCCTAACGTGTAATCGCGCGCGATTTGGATAATGTTAGAAAACATCATTTTATAAAACAAATAAAACATAATCTTATAAAACAGATAATACACATCATTTTGGTCGGGCATTAGTAAAATTACCCGCACTTGGTACCTTCAAAACAGTCCAAACGCCCTCGGCTATCGCCGAGACTGTGTTAGACTGTTCCAAAGATACCTCATGTGGGTAATTCTTATGCCCTTACTGATGTGTATTATTTGTATATTAGTCCACGATAAAAAAAAAACATTCAATCACATCTTCGATGTTTCTATCACCTTCTCAGTCAAGCAATCTCGACTAAAGTAAAGTAAGAACAAACAGGATTCGGGGTAAAATAACTGAAAACGACAGCATTTAATTAGATTTGCATAATGATGAGTAACATAACCAAATAAAAAGAACGTGAAAATAGTTACAAAAAGGCTTTTTGTTCAAGCATCAGTACATCAAGAATCGTACAATGTTACAAGTTTCTGTTTAATTAAAACTGTTGAATTGAAAACTAATTGCAAATTAAAACTGTTGAATTGAGAACTAATTGAGAATTGAAACTGTTGAATTGAAAAATAATTGAAAATTAAAACGGTTGAATTGAAAACTAAAACTGTTGAATCAAAACAGAATACCGGTATAATTGTTTTCGCTGATGAATGTCTATCTTAATTGATACAAAAAACACAAACAGGTATACTTGGCGGCAGAACAAGTATGATCTACTTTTAAAACTGTTGTAATAATAAATAATAATAATAATATTTAATTTTTATATAGCGCTTAATACAAATGTCTCTAAGCGCTTTACAAATATACTATTATTGTCTGATTATCAAGATATTCATGATTGGAAATCGAAACCAAATTTTGCGTTTGCCTTACGATTTTCATAACACTCAGTCTATTGGGGAAAACGAGTATGTTAATTCGGTCACTCAAAGGTTTTTTACTTTTTGAGGCACTTCTTGATCATTTTGAAGCGCAATTTTTATAGGGCTTACATATTACACCATATCACATACACTGATAACACGTAGAGCCGTGCATCTCAGGCTTAACATTGTTAAACGATGCCTTTGAGTTTTTGCTTACATTATTTACATGAAATGTACATTATCATTTTTGGTTCTTAAATGTTTCTCTACAGAAATGTGGAGGTATGATTACTCATATCATATCAATTAGCTTGTGATTGGGAATGTCGGTTTGCAACATCTACAAAACACGACAAATACAATGTTCAATATACATATATAACAGAGAATGATAAAAGAGTGAAATAATTAGGTAAAAAATAAGATAGAAGATAACATCTACAAAACATGGTATATACCGTTCAAAATAAATAAATGATAAAGAGTGACAACAGAGTGAAATAATTAGGTAAAGATAAGATGGAAGATAATAATAATGCAAGGATTTTGTTTGAAAGATCAAAGATCTACACAATAAACTACATAACTGTAGTACAAACGTTTACAGCAGGGGCAAATGTAGGATTTTTTTTTTAACGGGCAGAAATCAGATAAAATTTAGAAACATTCAAGCATTGCCGAGCAAAAAGAATAAAAACTTGAATAAAATATGTAGGTCGATATATAAATAAATTTAAATTAAATCACCACCTAAAATGGTGGAGGGTAAGTTTTTAGACTTGTGTCCTAAATGTATGCATCTTGGGTTTCCCAAAAAGGAGAGAGGGTGGGGGCAGTTCTCCCGCCTCCTCTTAATCCAAGCGGTATCCTAAAGGTAAAAATGAAAACTGACATTTTATCGTCGTCTTTTGATGAAGATCGCTACGATGAAGAGATGAACGACCATGGCGGCGTGGATGAAGCCGAGGATGATGAACACCTTCGTAAACGACTGGGTGACTTCAAACAGATAACCTGGAAAATGATTATAACAACATTAGATGTATTTGGCAAAGGTTTATCATGTTAAAGCCATACTGTACAAGAAACATTGCCACGAAATTCCCTCCAGGACCATCTCAAGTCACCTGTAGCGATATGGTCCCGTAACTCGATAATTGCAGCTTCCCTATGGCTGCGCTGTTGGTTATCGCACCGAGTACTCAGAAAGTTCGCAAGTTAAGTTCACTTTAAATGGCATAGCTGCCATAGCACACTAAGATAATAATAATAATAATAATAAAACGAAGCTTATAAAGCGCTTCCAACCGATACAGTTATGACCATGGCCTATCTAGACATGCGTATTGGGGGCGAGATCAAAGTTGAAATCATGGAAATCCTAATAGTTTCCTCCGAAGTACAATTTTAATGTCATGGACAAATCTGAGACTTCATGAGATGCATGACTTATAAGCGAGAAGCAACTTCCGATGATGCATCTATCTCTCTCATGTAGCTACGACTCACATACGCGGGAGCGTTCGCAGGATAAATCATGGAGTTCCAAAAAGTTTTCTCAAAGAGGTTCGCCATGGGATATTATGTGTACATGTCACATAATCTGTACACTGTAAACACACATATATACAATCCAATTTTGGTTATATGATATTATTGGCTTTAATCGAAGAATCGAGTAAAGATCGGATTTTACATGATCTAGCTACCTACAAATCGTAGCACAATACATTTTGCATGTTAAAAGTGTATAGTGTATGCATGATAGTTTCACAATTATTACAAAGACGTTCGAAAAACAAACCCAAAGAGATTTCAATGGGAAGTCTACCATGTCAGATAATCAGTTGGTAAATGGAATGTACAGGTCAGTGAAATTTTGAGCAAAAACCGACAATTCAATTTTAGTTACATGATATTATTGCCTTAAGTCGAAGAATCTAGTAAAGATAGAATTTAAACGGATCTAGCTACCTGAAAATCGCAGCACAATACATTTTGCATGCTGAAAGTGTATAATGTAAGCATAATAGTTTCAAGGATTGTCGCTTTAAAATGATCACAAAGACGTTCGAAAAATAAACCCAAGAAAATTTAAATGGGAAGTCCACCCTGATAATCAGTTGGTTTTAATAGAAACAGGCAACGGAGAGATAAAGATAAGTGGAATTTTAAGAAAAAAAAAATCGATAACCAATATGAAAGTTATGAATTTTTGAATGCGCGATCATTGGTATCTCTGTAACGTATTCTGGGAGCCCCATTTATTTTGGCCCTGTACTTAAAAAAAAATAATCTAAAATTTATTTTTCCATGAATACAATTTTCAATCACACATCTACTCTATTAAATTGTAATTATTGCAATTATGCTTCGAATGAAGCAAATGTATTTCGACATTAATAATTAAGAAAATAAAAGTTGATGAAACTTTCTGTAAAGAGGAACTTGGAGAGGAGCTGGCAATAATATTTGTCACAGAGGTGCCAATTTATGTTTAACTGATTTAAACTTCAGAAATTCATAGCTCTCCTATTTTAAATCGGATATTGCTCATACTTTCACTTCTTTGTTTCTCATTTTTTATACTTTTATCAAACCAAGTTATTTTCAGGGCGGATTTCCCCTTTAACGACCTTCTATGCCACCTTTTGAAATGTGCGAATTGTACAACAAGTGTAATCCGAACATGATTCTCCAAATGCGTAAAATTGATGCGCTGAAATTGCCCTTTGAGTGATTACTTGAAAAGGTCAAAGGTCGAAAAGGTTTGTATATAACGAGGAGTAAATAAATTGCCCACCTGTTAATGTTCCTGCACATGTCGCCCCTAGTCCTCCCGTGAAGTTACTGAGAGCAAGGGCCATTTTAAAATTCGTATCGTCCAAGATTGCATATTTGCATAAACTGGAAATAATAGTATCTTCGATGAAGAAGGAGAACCCTTGGACAAAAGCCAAGATAGCACGCACCTCGTAAGCAGAACTGACAAAGTCCAACAGAAATGATCCCGTGCAGATGAGAGCTATAGCGACATAGAAGACAAAGACGTTGATGCCTTTGCCGACGAGGATGATGAAGATGGTCCGACCGATGATGCCACCTATACCGCCGATTGTGGAAAGGTAGATTGCCTTGGACTGAGGGACGCCCAGGTGTTCAGTATGGGGCACCAGGAAGAGCATCCACGCATAAATGGTGTAAAATTGCAAGAAAGCGATCGGGATGGAGAACAGAAACAGCCGTTCGTTTATAAGTCCGCAAGACCCTCTACAGATCTGAAAGAAGGATATGGCCCAGAATGAGCGTGTATTCGATGATGTTTCTTGCTTACTTTTGCAACGGCTCTCGTATTGAATCAGACGTCTTTGCTCCGAAATGCACTCTTCACAATCTTCCTCCTCCTCCTCTTTCTCCTTCTCCTCCTCTCCCTCCTTCTCTTCCTCCTCCTCCTGATGATCAAACCCTATTTCCTTCTTCTCTAATGACTCCTCTACAGAGTGACACCGCTGTTTATCCTTCACTTCAGAATGACTTCCGCTTTCATTCGTATCGTCGTTGGTTGGTGCCTTGCGAACCGCTGCACCGCACACGACAAGGTTAAGAGCGATACCACCAAGGATAGTAAACGCCCCTGCATAGCCATACGCTTCGAATGACCTTTCAACTACAATAGGGAGCAGCATGGATCCGGTGGTGTAGCCGTATGTCGCGATTGTGTTCACCAAAATGAATTTTTCTGGGAAGAAATCATTTATTGCAAGGACTGTGGGCAGGTAGGTCATTGACAAGCCAGCACCTGCGAACAAAATAAAATAATAATAATAATAAAGACCAATAATTATGAGGATACCACTGAACGTACCCCAGTTGCTCTGAAAATTTCCATTCAGTTCTATTATCCATGCTCTTTAGGAGTTCAAGCGTTGCGATAAACAAGCTTCCTTTTTGCTAACTACTTTTCGACTTCTGGCACGTTTTCCCCTTCAAGGCTGCCAGAAGGCCATTTTGTAAAATCATTTCACTCTTGCTCCTCCATCAATAGCCACTGAAGCGGAGATTGGCGTAATACCTCTATATAGTTCCACGTGTGTCATGTGGCCCCTCCAGCTTAATAATAATGATCATAGCAAGTATGATGATAAGATCAGGAGGAGACTACCATGCAATTGTCTAGATGGCCAGAAAATACGCACAAAACGGTCAAATGATTTTATGTTGACAGCCTGTCTGGAATCTCCGCAAATTGCGAAAAATTGAACAGCGTCGATTTTTTTCTCCCTCCTTTTTACTGCTTCCATTTAAAATTATTATAAAACCTGAATTCGGCGTAAATATTCATAATTGAATGACACACGCCCTTAAGACTAAAACAACAACAACAACAACAGATAAAGTTGATGACGATTATTGCGTTCGTGATGAAATCTCTTCTTTATTAATTTGTTTGTGCTCTGTTTGCTGTACTTGCACAGAACCATTAAAAGTAATGCAAAGTTTTGTGAAATTTTAAAAATTGGATAGATAGTAATTTTTTACACTTTGTATATATTTGGATGACCCTGTGGATGCAATATAACCCCCGTGCCCCTCACCCCCCTCCCCCCCCCCGTGGCTACGTGCCTGATTATAAGCACTAGCAAATTTAGCCCCTAAACCAATTTTGCTTTAGGGAAATTGAATTAATCAAAATTTACCCGTGCTCGCGGTAAATTTCAAATATTTTAAATAGCGCTTAAGACCATTTCAAGGTACCTGCGACCATGAAAATCTCAGAATATGCAGTTGTGATATATATAATTTCCAAAGGAAATAGCAAATCGGTCGATTGTAGTCAAGAAAAATTGTTTTAAAGCTAAAGTAATATCAGTCTTGAAAGGGAGCTAAACAACAAAAAGAGTTTATTATTTTTCAATTTCATCACTTTAAACTCGATTTCAACCGCAACAACGATCATTGAATATTGTAAAATCGCATATGCTTCCAATATTTTCATTTGAAACAAATTCATGACCCCATACCAAAACTCGGTATGATCTTTAACCCTTACTGTACTGGGCTATTTTGGGCACCTCACCTCACTGACTGGGGGGGGGGGGGGGCGTCAAATGTCCGATGAACACGAAACTTTGCATGTTTGTAGATATTTACGTAAGGAAAAACATGGTATAATTACTTTTTTTCCTAATATGCAAATTTTTGTCGTTATAGCATAATTAATTATGAAAAATGATAATTGTATGCATTTTACAGAAACTCTTCATATTTGTCTGTAGAGTTGCGAAGAATCTTGAAAAAGTGTTGAATAAATTTTTCCTTCATCTCAAATTCATGAGGTTTCATTATTTTTATGATATTTGAAAATGCATAGGTTAATTTGCATGAATTATGGATACGCAAATTACGCATGCATGAATATCAAATCTGGAAATATACAGGGAACTAGAATCATTACAAAAATGTCAGACTCCACTTTTTGAATGTTGAAACTCATTATTCATGGTGGGGGCTGTTAGGGATATTTTGGTGCAGATTCTTTTAAAAGCACCAAATTTGGCCAAAAGTAGATTATACCACACTATTACGATTTCTGCCGGACGCCAAGAAGGTCGCTCTTTGGGACTGCAATATTGGGCAAATCCAAAATGGCCGCCATCTGAGTTAAAGGTCAAGCGTAGTTCCAAAAGAAAAATCGCTTGTATGATAATAGTTTATGTATGGATAGGGTTTTGGGGATCAGAAAATCTGATCATACTGTTCTTTCATTGATTTGAGGTCTCCTTGGGGCTGCCATACTGGTCATATTGGTCAAATCCAAAATGGCCGCCATCTGAGTTACAGGTCATGTATAGTTTCGAAAGGAAATGGGCTAGTATGATAAATTTGATATATTTATGGGGGTTTTCCGGGTCAGAAAATCTGATTATCATGTTCTTTTACCAATTTGAGGTCTATTTGGGGCTGTCATGCTGGTCATATTGGTCAAATCCAAAATGGTTGCCACCTCTGAGTAAAAGGTCAAGTGTAGTTCCGAAAGGAAAAAGGCTAGTATGATAAAAGTTTATATATATTAAGGGGGTTTTCCTGGGTCAGAGAATCTGATTATGACGTGCTTGTATCAATTACAGGTCTCCTTGGGGCTGTCATGCTGGTCATATTGGCCAAATAAAAATGGCCGCCATCCGAGTTAAAGGTCAAGCGTAGTTTTAAAAGAAAACGGACCAGTATGATAAAATTCGATGAATTCATGGGGTTTCCGGGGTCGGATAATCTCATTATGATGTTCTTTTATCAATAAGCGAGTTCGTAATTGCACACTGCGCATGCGCCAAAATCGGGAACGATCTTTTCTAAAGGTCACATGAACATAAAGAGAGCTGAGAGAGGAACTGTAATTTGTTTGTGTGCTGGCCTTTCCTTTGTGAATGATCACATCTGACAAATCAGTCACCGAAAATCATTTCTGAATGTCGGAATCGATTCTTTATAGTAAACTTTACTTGGAATCTGGTCATCGGTGTTATCGGTGTTATCGTGATCCAAGTCCCCAGGGACTCGGATCCACGGACAATTTTTACTCTGAATTTTTTTGTCCAAAATCGTATCCACAAAAGCGCGTGTTTAATGGGTTATTACTTTATTTTTTTCAAGCCAATTTATCTAGTAGGTGTATTAAAGTCATTCACTATTTAAATTAAGGCAAATATATATATATATATATATAATATTTAATCATTTCATATTGCCTTTAACGATTATTGAAGACGAAATATAACTTTCATTAAATTTTGTTTTAAATGGTATTACTGATTTATTTAGTCAAGCCAATTTAGCTAGTAGGCCTATTAAGAGAAACACTATAAAACTGTCTATATATTCTTCGTGGTGCGAGTCCCCGTTGCATGTTAAGATCATCAAATTCCCCATAGGAGGGGACTTACACAGTGGCGGATCCAGCCGGCGGCAAGAGGGTGGGGGGGGGGGGGGGGCTAATTCGAGAGAAAATATTTAGCGGTGACTCAGCCAGCCGGTGAATAAGCCATTTAAAGAAATACATATATTTATTATTATCATTATTATTATTGCCAGTGGGGGGGGGGGGGGGACCCGTCGAACACTCTTGTACACGTCATGTGATTCCTGACTGAACTAAAGGTTTATAATTATAATTGCAGCATGAGCTAAGTCCAGCATTTTGTGTGCCAATATCTTGAAAAAAGAGAGTGCAATCGCCGAAATTTATAGTAATGGTATGTTAAATGACAACGTAGACATTTTAAGTTTCTCTTCGAATTCTGCGATTTTGTAAGAACTATGGTACTTTTGTTTTTAGCGCTCCTAAATAACGATAATATGAGTAGTCGTAATAGTAGCGTTTCAAAATTTCCAAATTCAATCAAAGTTGTCTAGGTTAGTGCAAATATCAAAATACGTCTTTGTTATTCAAAACTTATTTATAATGATTATTAACTATTAATTAAATGTAATAGATTATTGAGTTTTAAATGGCGCCAAACTTGACTAGTTACATAACCATGTAAGAGAGATTGTTTTTAAGGATAATACAGTTTAAGCTGTCTGGGATTTTGAAGATAATGCTTGAAAACAAATCGACCAGTTGTCTATTTCTTTATTCATGGTCTTTTTCTACTGCTTATCTATGTTCATTGCCAACCCTCGAAAACGAATTTATTATGCATTTCACAGAGGAAAGTTTGCATATAGGAGAACTATATATATATACGAATTATTTATTGGGCTTATTTTGCTTTCCAATAGATCCTCACTCTATGGTACAGCTTTAGGGGCCTGGCAGAGCCCCTGCCGGGGGTTCCGGGCGGAGCCCCAGGATGCTCTTGTTTTTTTGCGTAAAATGAATTTATTGATAAATATATGCATTTGAACAAATCAAACGATCATACACAATCAATTGAAATAACATCGTAGCATCTTAGCATAGTTCAAATAAAACATGTTTCGTTTTCTTGAATAACAGTGTTTTCAAAAATGCATATCTTTTTTGTTTTACAGTTCCTTTCGATCTTTAATCGATTGTGGATTAGTCTTTGGAAAATACAAAAAATAGAGTCTTCATGCTCTTGAGTTTATTTGACTTCAAGGGAAAGTGTCTCTAAGATATAAAGAGAGGTTATTTCTTAAATGAAATGAAAGGTCTCTTGAAAATAAATTGCCCTTTCATTTCAATTTTTGGAAATAAACTCTAACCCATCCCTTGATATTTAAATTGCACGGCTCCTACTGTGTGCTCTTTTTTTAACACTCTACCTGATCTATAAAGGGTGCTTTCTTTATTTGATCATCAACAGAAACAAATTTCTAGGCCACGAACTTTTCGAAGCGTGACCAGACTCAAAGTATGCTTAAATGGGGGCATTGATGTATGT